ATACTTCCCAGGTGGCTTCTGGTGGACGGCCTTACGTCTGATGAGTGGATTGACCAAATAATAATTGTTGATTAAAAAGGATGGTGCATGTGCCGCTAAAATTATGTTTATGTATTTAGCTGATGCTTTTGTCCAAAGCGACTTACAAGTGATAATCAGCATGTTGCCCTTGATGCTAACAACAACAATAACAAAAACAACTTGACATCAGTCATGGAGAGGAGGGAACAAGGAGTGGACAGTGGGGGGGGGGGGGACTAGGGGTCTTAGCACACCTCTGTTGTTGCTTGGCTTCCCGGGGCTGGAGGCTAGGAGGGGGATCTGGCCATCTGGTTGGGGTCTGGGGTGGTGGGTTGCTATGCTCAGCGTTGGGCAGGGGAGCCTGCTCATCAGCACCCCAGCAGAAAGGGTCGAACTCTGGGAGCCGGTGATGGCTTTACCCTTTGTGCAGCAGTACTGGGACCAGAGTGAATAAGGTGTGTATGGGGAGCATGAGTGGGTGTCTGGCATGCATTTTTCTAAGTCTTTGGTTGTATGTGCATGTGTGAGCATGAGGGAGGGAGTGTGTGACTGTGTCTGTGTATGACTGTGTATGTCAGGTGGGGCCTTTGACTCTTCCCCTCTCCTGGGACTTCTTTTGATGCAATACATCTTCGTCTCCCCTCCCCCTGCCACACTTGGTGTGGAGTGCGGTGCCTTGGTCTGTCTGAGTGTTCGTGGCTTTGGGGTCAGGGGGTTTAAGATTTTTGGCGTCTGCCTGATTAATCCCGGTGGCTGTCTGGTGGGATCTGGGTCTCTGGGCTCAGCTGGGTCCTCGGCGAGGGGTGGTCGCCCCTGGGTCCCGGGTCGCTGGGTTTGGACGGCTGGAGGGTGGGAGGCTGCGGGCGGGCCTGTGGGCTTGCCGCTGATATCTCCTTGGACTCTGCCGACTGCTGGTTGTGGCCCCCCAGGGCAGCAGTAGCTCAGGTGGTAGAGCGGGTTGCCTCATGATCGGAGGGTCATGGGTTCGATTCCAGCTCCCACCAAGGGTATCCTGCTGTTGTGTCCTTGGGCAAGACACTTCACCCAACTTGCCTGTGTTAGTGGTGGTCAGAGGGGCCGACGACGCCAAATGGCATCCTCGCCTCTGTCAGACCTCCCCAGGGTGGCTGTGGCTACAAGTAGCTTACCATCACTAGCAGTGTGTGAATGTGAGTGTGTGAAAGTATCTTTGGGTGTCTTGAAAAGCGCTATATAAGTTCAATGCATTATTATTATTATTATTATATCCTCTGCGCCTCTTGAGGGGAGCAGGGGCTTTTCTGGTTGCAGTCTCCCTGGAGTCCCTGTGCTCTGGAACAGCTCCTGGATCTCTGGGACTTGGAGCTCCCTCCATCTCCTACACATCTCTGGGTGGCAGATCTGTGGCCCCTCAAACTCTCTATTGGATGCTCCTATAGAGAAACCTTACACATACAAGTGCGTGTACACACACAGGTGCTCACATGGTGCTCTCATAAGTGTGGACTTGGGCACGTTCAACACGTCTTAAGGCTGTGGTTGGCATTTAATGCACTGCGATTTATTATCGTGTGATAGTTCAGTAAAACAAAGTTGATTTTATATTTCCTCATCAAGTTGACACAATGTTAGCTTGCTCCTGTTATATTGTTGTGTGTCCCTTTTTTGCAGGTCTAGAAGCAGACCCCTTTTCATCATTGACTGTTTATTTTTGTGGACCCCCCCCCCCCCCCCCCCCCCCCCCGCATCTGTTGTGGTGACGAGAAAGCTGAGTCAGAAGGTGAAGCTCTCGATTTACTGGTCGATCTACGTTCCTACACTCACCTATGGTCACGAGCTTTGGGTAGTGACAGAGAGAACGAAATTGCGGATACATGCGGCCAAAATGAGTTTTCTCTGCAGAGTGTCTGGGCTCTCCCTTAGAGATAGGGTGAGAAGCTCGGCCATCCGGGAGAGGCTCGGAGTAGACATGCGGCTCCTCCACATTGAGAGGAGCCAGTTGAGGTGGCTCGGTCATCTAGTCAGGATGCCTCCTGGACACCTCCCTTGTGAGGTTTCCAGGCACGTCCAACCGGGAGGAGACCTAAAGGAAGACCCAGGACACGTTGGGTGGAGAATGTCTCTCACCTAGCCAGGGAATGCCTTGGGATTCCCTGGAGAAGCTGGCCCAAGTGGCTGGGGAGAGGCAAGCCTGGGCCTCTCGACTTAAGCTTGGTTTATGCTTGATGCATTCACTTTCCGTGCGGTGATGCAGCTCACGGATGGAACGCGCTTCACAACTCGCAGCGTTTGTGCGGCTCGTCTCTGCGGTGAGCCAATATTCTCCCAAACTGAACGGGGCAGCATGGAGCTCTACGGAATGCATCCAACACTACACCATAGTAGAAGTAAACATTACTGTTTACAACACGGCATTTCAGCATTTTTAACAGCGTTCTCGTCTTTTCCGACAGTGCGAGCTATTTCTCTCCAAGAATTATTAACAACATGTTGATCAAGGTGATCTCTGAGAGCTGAATCATACAAATGTCTGTATTTACGAACCTCTGCCGTACTAGTTCTTGCCGGTCCGCCATGTTTTTCCGCGTCCGTCCGTCCGCGTGGTTAGAAATTTTCCGAGGTGCGCATTGCGGAAATTCTGGGCCGTGCGGAGGCGCGGTGGAGGGGCATGTTGTTAAAATGACGCAAAATGATGCAACTTTTCCGCACGGAGCCGTGCGGACCTCGCGGACGCGTCAAGCATAAACCAACCTTAAGGCTACTGCCCCCGCGACCCGACTCTGGGTAAGCGGATGAAAATGGACGGATGGATGGATGCACTTTAGGTTGTTCGTATGAACACTCTTAATCCCATTTGTAGGGAAGAATAGAGGAAAGTTTCTATGAACATTTAATAAATAAGGCCACTGGCTTGTATGCTGCCAGCAAGAGGGCAGGAGCATTCAGTAGTGCCTGGCCGTGGCTCGAGGGCCTCGGGTGGACCTTGGTTTCTCCTGTACTGGGAGGAAGAATTTTTTTCCACCTCTGGGGAGGCGGATGTCCAGGACGGGGAGGACCCAAATATACCTGGGTGTCTATGTCTTAAAGTAGGTACGTGTGTATGGGGAGCATGAGTATGAGAATGTATGACATACATTCTTGTAAGGGGCGTGTGATTGTGTTAGTGTGTAAATCTATATGTCAGGTGGGTTATTGGACCCCTCCCCTCCCCTGGGACATCTTGTGGTGCTACAACCTATTCGCCTACCCTCCCCCTGCCACTTTTTCTGCCAGTGGGTGGTGCAGAGATCTGCCTGAATATCCACAGCTCCAGTGTGAGGCGGTAAGTCTTTTGGGATCTGTAGGGTCACTCTCAGTGGATGCCTGGTGGGGTCTAGATCCCTGGGCTCTGTTGGGTCCCCAGCGGGGTTGGACACCCCCCCCCCCCACCCCCCCACCCCCGGGTTCTGGGACACAGTTCTACAAGTTCAGCCAACTCGGGGTTGGGCGGCTGTGGGCATGTCTGGGGGCTTGCTGTTGTTATCTCCAACCAATCTGGCGGCTGCTGGTTGCAGCCCCTGGAGTAATCCTCTGCACTTCTAAAGACGGGGGTTGGGTATTCTATGGTGGATGTCTCCCTGGGGTTCCTGCGCTTTGGGGAAACCAATGGATCTCTAGGGCTTGGAAGTCCTTCATCTTCCACACATCTATGGGGGCAGATCTGTGGCCCCTCACACTCTCTATTGGACGCTCCTATGGAGAAACCTTACATATGCAAGCACGTGTATGCACACAGGTGCTCACATGGTGCTCTCATAAGTATAGACTTGGGCATTTTCAACACGTCTTAAGGCTGTGGTTGGCACTTAATGCACTGTGAATTATTACTGTGTTTCTCAGCAAAAAATTGTTACTTTTATATTTCCTCATGTAGTTGGCGCAGTGATCTTTTGGTCTTGTATTGTTTTCTCTCCCTCTCTTTCTGCAGGGTTTTACTTTGTTGCTTGTTGGATGATATTATTGCTATAAAAAGATACTGCATGTCATTAAAACAGTTTGTCCAAAAGGCAACTTACAAAAGGCCATCATCTCCTTAAGTTTTTCTTTGACACATACATATAGTTTAGACAGTTAGCACCTGAATTTCCTTCTCATAAGGGAGATCTCAGGCTGGGATCACATAGAACTATTTTTTTTTTCTTTTTAAAGCCCTTAGCATCAGCTGGAATCAACAGATTTGGTGAAATATCTGGTCTGTTACAGCCCTGATCTTAAGAGGACACCTGCAATAGATTCCACGATACCTCCAGGTGCAACCATGTGTGGCCCAGGATTCTCCAAGTGTGGGTCCAGAGTCTTAAAGTGTAGAGGAGGCTCCTCCTGGCCAACACGCTCCACTGAATCTAGTCGCATGTAGCAAAGGTAAGCCTTAGCGGGGGCCTCTACCTACTCTTTTAGAGTCTGGTAACCTCCCCCCCTTTGAAAGAGAGGCCTTTGCAGCCAGACTCAACCTGATCCAGAAAGTTTAGTTGTTGCGATTGTATGTTGGAATATTAAATGCAACATTAAAGGTTTAAATGGCATGGCAGAGCCCTGCTACCTATATGATATTAAAAGAGGAACTGATAAGAAATTAATAAATGTGTGTAGAGCTTTGTGATGAGAGCTATAGCAGGCCTAAGACAAGCCGGCTTGTAATTTCTCCAGGGAAGCATGTTCTTAAGTTGTTTTAATACAGAAACCAAATGCTGAAAGCTGATTAACACATATCCAAATTAACATGCAAATCAGGAATTTAAAAAACTGAAAATATTTGACACTTTTAATCAGAAATATGCTTCAGAAATCATAATTAATTCCCCATAATTTTAAATGTGTCTTATTTTATTTTTTGATGGCCAGAGTAAAGCTTTTTTATTCTCATAGTAACAGAAATTCAACCCTGATTCCACAAGTGTTAGAAAGTGAGTCCTGCATTAAACATAACTGAGTGTTTTCTTTTAAAAGTAGTCTTTATTTACCTCGCTGGTACTGAACCACATATCCTAAAAGTCTGCCATTGGTTTCCAGTGGAGGAGTCCAGTAGAGAATCAGGGACATCTCTGTAGGGCTTTCAAACCTCAGTGATCCAGGTGGACCAGGAGCTACAAAGAAACATAAACACATGGGTTGAAAGCAGGCACACTTTACACATTCTCAAAAAAGCAGGAGATTTGGGGATTTATAGAATAAAAACAAGTTTCATTAAAGGGCAGATACAACACTGGCACCAAATTCACCAAACACAATGTGTTCCTATTAGGGCTATTGCAATAGCTCCAGAATCTAAGCAACCTTGGCAAAGGGACTTTCTGCTACTACCCATACATCACTTCTGCTGTTTTCTGCTGGACTCTGAAGGAACTTCACCTTTATTCCTGTTCATTCCTGCTGAGACAGTTACCATCAGATTCTGATATGTGCTGTTAGGGTTAACCCTTATCAACAGGGTTCTTCAGGACCATCTGTTTCAGGTGTGACTGGCAGTGTTTGGAGTAACGTGGTACTAAAGTAATTAATTACTGTAATGCATTGCTTTTTGCTGTAATCAGAGAATCAGAGAGAATTTTATTGCCAGCGCTCCAGCGAACCTGAGCATAGGAACTTGACTCCACAGAACAGCCTGACCGAGATTACACACACACATATAGACAGGACAGATACAGGCAGACCGCGAGAGCAGCCATAACGGCGCTCATTTCAATAGATGAAGAGGGGATTACATGAGGAGAGTTCAGGGAGGGAGAAAAAGGCATTAACAGAGTTACACCGGCAGGGTGTAGCTCTACTATGCAAAAAAACCACCTCACATATAAGCACGAACGTCACAGTTCACGACATGAGACCCGGTAGGTGGGGTGGGGGGGGTGGGGGTGGGGGGCTGGGACCACGGTTTTCTCAGCGGGAGCAGCCTGTGTGGCGCTCGAACAACTGAATCCACAGGTGGGAGGGAGGTCATGGGAAAGCACAGAGCACAGTGAGTGCCTCCATCTTGATGACCTCGATGCGGAGACCACAATCTGAAGGCGGTGGCGGGGGGGGGGGGGGGGGGGGGGGTTCACAGCATTTGCCTGCATTCCTTCCATCGTGGGGGTTTTTGCACGCAACTCCAAGGCTGCTTATGGCATCATATTGGATAACAGGACTTTGTTTGGGTCAGGCAGAGATAATTTTCCTCTCTGCCTTAAAGTCTGTATTGATCATTCAAATCCTCCAGTGAAGCCAATTCGGTGATTAAACATCTCCACACCGTCAGGTGACCCTCTCCGAGATGACATCCATTTTGCGCACTAACACCGGTAACGCAGCTAAGACATTGTCCAGCTTGCGATTCACCTCGAGTAACGTCCCAGTCTGTGAGGTCTCCGCCCGGACGGTGCCGTCCATGGTTGCGGGTCGCCCTCCAATCGCTCCCGTCATCCCAATTTTTCGGAAAACCAGATATCCTCCCACTCCAATCAGAAGAAATCCAGTGATCATCAGGCCAAATATCCACACATCTTCGACATCCTCAATGGACAGCTGAGAGAGACAGATGACCTTCCACTTCTTCCAGGAATCGAGCATATTTCCCGCTGCGTGTGTCCCGAGAGGACAAGCGCGAGCCCCCTCCTCCGTTCTCATCGTAGAAAAAATCTTATCAATCGCGTTGAATGACCAATTAATTAAATCCATTTCTGAAAAATAGTGATGTCCAGAGGAAATGCAGAGAAGCGCTCTGTAGGAGACGGGACAAAAAGAGCCTTGCGAAAAAGATAAGGGAGCAAAGCAGAAGCGACTGTGCCCTGTGAGTGCCAGAAGAAGAAAAAGGCTGTAGTAATGTAAGGCATTACAGGGAAAGAAAATGGTAATATTTACTCGGTACAATTGTCAGTAACGCGGTAATTACAACACATTTTTAAACCCAGAGTCAAGATGTGGGTTTCCTAAAAATTCAAATTGCGGGAAGCCTGAAAAAAGATACAGTATCCACATATATGATGTCATTTATGGACTCAGCGTTGCAGGCATTCTCTGAGCAGAGAGGACGCAGCGGTAACGGCTCAAATACTCCAGCTGCGTCCTCCGCGCGGCTGCTGTTATATTCACAAAATGGCTCCACCAAAAGAAAGTCATTCGTTTGCGATCGTTGATATCAGCCCATATTCTCTGGTACTTCATGTACTTTTCAGCTGAGTTCATCATCTGTGCCCGGGTGATTTCAACTCATTGCTGCTGGAGCGCAGTGCATATTCAGCTATTTTTTTTTGCGTTCGGTAGATCCCTTTGGCTGAGTAGTTAGAAAGTAGGCAATCTAGGAAACAGTTTTTCTGGAAGACGGAGAAAACATGCAGCATGCAGGAAGGTTAGAGAGAGAAAGGGCCGGAAATTATTGAAATTAAATCAAGAAAAAAAAACAAAGTGCTTGAAAAGAAAAAAGTAGGTAATTTATCCCCAATACACATTTTTACCAGTGAAAAGCAATAATATATAAGTATTTAATATTTATACATGTGATAGAATCAGATCACCCCAGAAGTCAGTCCCACATCCAGGGCCGTATCAAGGCATTTGGGGACCAAGGCAAATATAGGCTTGGAGCCCCCACCACCTCACTCCCTGCTCAGTTAATATAAGATGGCAGCGTGCTGAGAGTACAGATTGTTGTTGTTTTTATTTAATAAACAATCATTTTAAAGCACTGTTATTATATCTGACTGTTGTTAACAGCAACCCTAGCTCAGACACCACATCAACTTCCACTTATATGTCATGAGCTCACTGAGCGTCACATGACCAGATTCATATTGAAGTTGTTTGGGTGAAAGTAACTTAAAGTAATGCAAAAGTAGAGTAATGCCTTACATTTTTAAATCAGTAATATTGTAATATAATGAATTACTTTAAAATGAAGGTAACAAGTAATAAATAATGCATTACAGTTTTGAAGTAACTTGCCCAACACTGGTTACTGGTGCCAGTGACCCAGTTTGTATGAACACAAGTCCAATAATGACATTATTTAGAAAGTGTGTTAATGTTCTTTTACATGTTGTCATTCACCATACATGTACTTGTATATATGTACACGTATTCTCATGTTTACAAGATATTTTGGTACCTGAATCTGGGGTGACTGTTATTTCCCATATTTAAACATGCATGCACGTGTCTAAAAACACTATCTGTGCATATGCATTTGAGACAGTACTTTTAGATCTTGTTAGTTTCTCCTTTCTACTTCCTTCATAAAAAGAGTCTTTAATCAAGTGATTATTTGGTAGTATACCAGTTCAGATATAACCCCCAGATTCCCATTAGATGCATATTTGTTGCACATCATTTACGATGTGTAAAGTGCAGCTAATAGCAACTGTAAAACATGGAGTGTTGTGTTTTTGACGTGTAACAGTAATGTAGTGTTGCTCTGCTCTGAGATCCTCATCTGTGCCCCAGACAAGCTGGTTCCCAAAGTCAGAGACTCTCTTGGTCAGCTTGCTTCTCACACCAAACCTTCTGTCAGGAATCTTGGCGTGACCTTTGACCCAGCTCTCACCCTGGATCCTCATGTCAGTTCTCTTGTTGGCTCTTCCTTCTTCCATCTCAGGAACGTTGCTAAGCTGAGTCCCATTCTGTCCCGCTCTGAACTTGAGACAGTTCTCCACACCTTCATCTCCTCACGCTTAGACTACTGTAACTCTCTTTTCACGTGTCTGAGCAGAACCTCCCTCAGGATCCACTGATTTCCCTCTTTCCTGTTCACTCTCTCTGATTCACTCTCTCTCTTTCTTAACATTTTTACTTTTAAATCGCAATTGCTTATTCTTGCTCATTTTAAATATATTTTTAAACATTTTCGAAATGCTTTTTTATATTTTTACAATTTTTATATTGGAAGGTGGAATACGTGGGGAGAGCAGAATAAAGACAGAGGGGTTGAAGAAGGTCATCCAAAAGCCAGCTTGAACAAGTGAGTCTTCAGCTGCTTTTTAAAGGAGACCACTGAGTCCACTGATCTCAGGCTCAGGGGGAGAGAGGTCCAGAGTCTGGGGGCCACAGCAGCAGATGATCTGTCACCTTTGGTCTTTAGCCTGGTGCTGCACAACCAGTAGGCTTTGATCACTGGACCTCAGGGACCTGCTGGGGGTGTAGGGACTAAGAAGATCACCAATGTAAGATGGTGCTTGTCTATGTAAGGCCCTATAGACCAGAACCAGGATCTTGAAATGAACCCTGAAGTTGACTGGCAGCCAGTGAAGCTGGAGGAGAAGCGGGGTGATGTGGGTGTGTTTGGAGGACTTGGTCAGAAGCCGAGCACAGGCGTTCTGAACCACCTGTAGACGGTTCAGGGAGGTTCTGCTCAGACACGTGAAAAGAGAGTTACAGTAGTCTAAGCGTGAGGAGATGAAGGTGTGGAGAACTGTCTCAAGTTCAGAGCAGGACAGAATGGGACTCAGCTTAGCAACGTTCCTGAGATGGAAGAAGGAAGAGCCAACAAGAGAACTGACATGAGAATCCAGGGTGAGAGCTGGGTCAAAGGTCACGCCAAGATTCCTGACAGAGGGTTTGGTGTGGGAAGCAAGCTGACCAAGAGAGTCTCTGACTTTGGGAACCAGTTTGTCTGGGGCACAGATGAGGATCTCAGTCTTATCTTCATTCAGCTGAAGAAAGCTCCCACCATCCAGGTTTTGATAGAGTCTAAGCAGGTGTGTAACAGCTGCAGCTTAGACATCTCATGGGGCTTAAAGGAGATGTACAGTTGGATGTCATCTGCATAAAGATGGTAGGACATTCCTTTGAAGGAGCTCAGGATGTGCTGAAGAGGAAGCAGATAGAGGAGGAAGAGCAGATGCCCCAGCACAGAACCTTGTGGGACACCATGGGAAAGAGAGGCGGTGGAGGACCTAAACTTGGAGACGGCCACAGAAAAGGAGCGCTCAGAGAGATAAGAGGAGAACCACTCCAGAGTAGTTCCTGATAGGCCTACCCAGTCTCTCAGCCTCTCCAGTAGCAGGTGATGGTCAACAGTGTCAAAGGCTGCAGTCAGGTCCAGCAGGACCAGAAACGAACAGTGCCCTGCAGCACTGTGAGTCAGAAGGTCATTAGAGACCCTAAGAAGAGCTGTTTCTGTAGAATGAGCTCTACGAAAACCTGACTGGAAGTAGCCCCCCGGAGTAAGGGCCTTCCAAGAGACGTAGACGAATGCCTTCTCCAAATTCAAAAGACTCATGTAGATTTGTAGGGCAAACTCCCACGCACCCTCCAGGAACCCCTAAGGATATAGAGCTGGCCCGGTGTTCCACGACCAGGAGGAAAACCTCATAGCTTCTTCTGAATTAGAGGTTCAACAATCCGGACCCTCCTCTCCAGAACCTCTGAATGGACTTTACCAGGAAGGCTAACGCCCAGCACACACCAGCAGCGAAGCCTCGCAAAGTGGATCGCTGACGAAATTTGTGAGCTGTCCGCCCCCTCCTCTGTTCACATCAAGGAGCACTTCTGCTCACGCTTGTTTCCTCCCACCCCGTGCCTTGCTCTGTGTGTGTGTGTGTGTGTGTGTGTGTGTGCGCGTAACCAGTTTGCCCTGCTTGTTGACATCAGAAACTGCACTGATCCTGCTGCTCTGTATTTGTTTGTATTCACATTTATTAAATACATCTTTGATGTAAAAACCGCATTTAAAATTATGGAAACCCCAATGTTTCTCTGCACGAGTGTGTGTGTGAGTGTGTGTGTGTGTGTGAGTGTGTGTGTGTGTGTGTGTGTTCATTTTCATCTCTCTAGTCTGTTTAGATACACAAAACATATCATATTCATTAATTGCCGTGTTTTATTTTGAAATGTTTCATTTTTTTGGTAAAATTTACCGCCCTGCCTCTTCCGTTTTGGTTTGACTTCCTGCCAGAATTGACGCGGCTCACTCACGACTCACGAAAAAATTTGAGCTCACTCTGAAACGACGGCTGCACGGCACAAGCCTTCGTGGCGCTTCGCAGCTGATGTGAGCGAAAGCGTAGGTTAACAAGGGCGCACACTTTTAGAAGCGCTCGTCGTTCCACGGTGCTTTGCGTTGCATCGTTGCGCTTCCTCGTCTAGTGAGTTCCGGGCATTGGAAGTCCTAAACCTTGGTTGATTTCATATCTGGAAGGTGTTGATCTCGCTCTCTCACAAAACCACGTGTTTTTACATGTTAAATGACTGTAAGACACGGCAATCACCTGACCTAATCTTACTGAGCATGCACTCCACTTGCAGAGCATTGTAAAAATCTGCTCCAAAATTATTGGCGCCAAACAAAGAGACTTACAGTCTCTTTGGGAGGAGAGGGCGCGAAAAAAGGCTAAATGTATCCTTGGTCAGCCCCTCCATGCTCTGCACTCCGAGTTCTCTCTTATGCCCTCAGGACGTCGTTATTATGTACCTTCTCGAAAAACAAACCGCTTTGCAAACTCCTTTGTTCCATCAGCTATTGAACTGCTTAACTCTGAGCCGGGAAGGGTGGCGAAATAACAGCGAAGTATCATCGGCTTTAAGCATGTGCCATTTTTGGAGGGCTGCTGCTCATCCTCTACCCTTCATTTAGGATGTGTTCGGCATGTTGGTAGTGACACACATTGTGTGATTGTGTGATTGTATAAATGGATTGTTTGCTTGGTTGATTTTATGAGCGAGTTATTCTGTGTGGTAAGCTACAAATTAATTGCCCCATGGGGACCAATAAAGTTTTTTGATTCTGAAGACATTATTGAAAGGAAAATTCTCCAAGAACAATCAGGAACTGAAGACAGGTGCAGTAGAGGGATGAAACCCAGCGTCTGGTGATGTCTATGTGTTTCAGACTTCAGGCTGTGACTGACTGCAAAGGATTTGTAACCAAGTGTTAAAAAGTGAAAGTTTGATTCATGATTATTATTCTGTCCCATCACTGTTGGTCATGTATCAAGTGGAAGACACAAATGAAAACTGTTGTAATTCCTTCACCGTTCACCTGAATACAATATAGCGAGGGTGACGTTTCTCTCATTGTAAGTGTGCTAATGATATCATTTATATATTAATATTTAAACTCACCTCCCTCTGGGGTACTGAAATGGTGTAATGGAGAAGGAGGGCTCTCTCCTCTTTTGTTGATGGCTAGGATCCACAGCTCATATCGAGAGTAGAGAGGCAGACCAGTCACCTCCTTGGACGTCTCTGTGCTGTTAGCCAATATCATCCAGGTATTCCTGTTGTTGTCCTTCTGCTGTTCCATTCTGCCATTTTCCTCAAAGTCAGTATATTTGCCAAGAGACCTTCTCCCTCTTTCATTTTGAGAACCCAACCTTCTGATGTATATCTGACAGAGAGAAACAAGACATGTCTGTATTTTACAAGTTGTCCTGGGCATGGCTCTAGTCTGTTGATAGAATGGTTGTTACAAGACAAGAATCTAGAGCTAGGGTTAGGGTAAGTGCTCCTGATGCACTTAGAAGGGCCTGCATTTCTATTGTATCTTCCTAGGGTTCTACAACGCCTCAAGGCATTTTACAACACTCTAAAGCCCTTTTCAGACAGACATTCTGGAACATTTGTGGAAAATTCAATCCGGTTTTTAACCGGAACTGTGTTTTCAGACACACCACTTTTGTACCGGAACTTGTCTTTTCGGCTGCGTTCAGACAGCAGGGAAAAGTTCCAGATGTCTGGGGGGAGGGGGTGGGGAGGCTGTACCCGGATATTGCGTAAACAAAGTGCGGCGGGCGTACATGCGTCATTTCCCCAAACAAAGCTATTCAGTCCAACATGGCCGGCGAAGAGCTAGATTTCCTCTCACTGATCGGACTTATGTTAAGCGTAATCCTGCGCACACGAAAACGCATTAGAGACCTGGATGATGAAGCTCAATTGGTAATAAAGGAATCACGGGAGCGGTGTGAAACGCTCCGTCGCGCGTGTAGGAGACGGTACCGTAGGAGGCGAGCTGCCATGGTTCGCCGCATGCTTCAGGAGACCGCGACCCGGCGTATATGGAAACATTCACGACCAAGTGGCGAAGTTTTCTGGTCAAACGCGTTGAAAAACTTTGGAGATGAGGAGTGGTATCAACATTTTCGAATGTCTCGCAGGACCTTCAACTACCTGTTAAGCTTGGTTAGGCCTGTTTTGGCACGGAAAACTACAAACAGGCGCAGGCCTTACGAACCTTCCCTCAGGCTAGCCGTTGTTATCTGGTGGTATGCCACACCGAGCGAATACAGAACCATAAGCTGCCTGTTTGGTGTTGGTATATCCACTGTCTGTGTTTTTTTGCGAGAGGTGACAAGTGCTCTGAAGGACCGTTTGCTAGAACGTTTCATTTCATTACCAAAGCTGGACCAGCTACAGGTCACAATGGATGGATTTGCTGCACGCGGCTACCCAATGTGTGGTGGAGCTATAGATGGAAGCCACATTCCAATCATTGCTCCGAAGGACGATCCAGCTTCATATCGCAACAGAAAAGGATGGCATTCCATTGTTCTGCAGGCTGTTGTTGACCACCGTTTCTGGTAAGACTGGTTTTGTGAGAGCATGAATTTCTATGTTGTTGTCAAGAGCAAATTTACATTTTATGCATCCCTTTGTTGTTTGGGGCTGTTATGTTGCAGCACTAACGAAATGCTTTGTTCAGTTTCACAGATGTTTATGTTGGTTGGCCTGGTCGAACGCATGACGCCAGAGTACTCAGCAACTCTACCATCTTCATCAAAGCCGAACAACAAGATGGCTACCTGTTCCCCCGTGAGGTATGCCTTAACATCTAAATCTGCGCGCGCACACACACACACACCCCTACACCTCTAATCTTGGTTTTCTGTCCTTCTAGATGTCCAGAGACATCAATGGTGTAGAGGTTCCCGTTCATCTGATTGGGGATGCGGCATATCCACTGAAGAAGTGGCTGATGAAGGGGTTCACACAACACCATCGTCTGACGCCTGAACAAAGCACCTTCAACTATCGTTTAAGCTCTGCTCGGATGGTTGTTGAAAATGCATTTGGGCGGCTTAAGGGCCGCTGGAAGTGTCTGGCCAAGCGTTGTGATGTGGACATTCACATTATGCCGGACATTGTGATTGCTTGTTGCATTCTTCACAATGTCTGCGAGATCAACAAAGACAATTACCTTGCTGAATGGAATACTGATGCCACTGAACTACCTGAACCTAATGCGGAAGCTGTATATGCCCCTCCAGTTGGAGGGGCACAGCAAATTCGAGGGACAATCATGTCAGTACTTTAACTGCATTTCAAATTGATTGTGCTTCTTGTCCAAAACTGCGTTGTACATTTTGGGACTGTAACTATGTCAGCTTCCCCTAATTAAAAAGAAAACTTTTAACAGTGTTAACCATTCTTCACATAGATGAGAATGTATTCATAGTTTCACCCAAAAAGGTTTTTATTTGCCAAGCAAAAAAAGTAAAATAGACACTGCAAACAGAGGTATAAGTTGTGTTGTGCAAAATCTGTCACTTCAAGTAAAAGACATTTAATTAAAATGTGCAAAACTTGTCCAAAAAAATTAAACTCAATACCCCCCCCCCCCCAATTTAATCGAGACTAAAGGTTTGCCATGAAAGGCTTGTATAAAAAAAAACACAAAAAACAACTTATTTTAGTAGATTGTATAAATGGCAAAAGTTTAAATAAAGTGTAACAAATAAAAACTGAAAATTAATACTGAAATGAAACTGTCTACAGATGGAGAATGTGGGGTGCAGCAGTCTGCACTGATGGAGCTCTGCAGGTCAGAATGTTACATCAGCCAGTGAAGGTGGAGGGACAATGAACTACAAATTGTGGTAGTTTGGACCCGGCATCCATTCCTGCTGTGGCTGAGTCAACCTGTTAACAAGTTGACGCATCAAAGATGTTATATCCTGGAATGTAGCCGCTTCTTGTCGCCTGACCGCTAAGTATTCACGCATATATTGCTGTTCAAACTCCCTCTGCTCCTGCATTAATTCTCTGTCATGCTGATGGCTTCTCTCATCCATGCGTTCCAAAGCCTCGCTCCATTCTGTGTAGGAAGACTTGTCTCTCTTCCTCTTTCTTTGCCTTGGAGTGCTGGATGCCGCCTGCGATGGGGTGCTGCATGATGGCCCTATTGAAAAAGACAGACATTAGTGTCACATATATGCTGTAGTGTTTCAATGTATTTTGTGCAGTGGGGTGATTATCTGAATATGGTGCACTACAGGTTTACCACAAAGACAAACATTTAAACTCAACTCAGATATAGTAACAAAATACATGTTCAAAATGGGACACGTAATGTATGTCCTCCAGTTTTTGGTGAGTTTTCCAATAACTGTAACCCCCAATGTGCACGTAATTCAAACACGTCACCCAGCGCTTTTCTCATCACGTGCTCAGTTGGAGCAGTTTAGATACCAGAAGTTAAAAGCCTGCTGTTTAGGTCGCAGTTGTCTGCAATTAACGTTTTTATAGCTATAAGCTGTACATCTGCACACCCAGTCTTACAACAGCATCTGCTTGCTAACGTGAATATTTACCTGCTATGGAAGAGCAGTCACTGTCCGACGCGACTTGGGGCCTGTGGTTCTCGCTGCCGTCCGTTGCGTCTTCTTGGGCCCTCTCAAGGGAGCTGCAGCTGGCCTCAGAGCAGTCCTCTGGTCGGTTGGAAGCCGCCGCCATGCTTCCACACACCACAACAGGGTTTGTGGTTTTTTGAGCACCCCATATAGCTTCACATAAGTCGAAGTAGCCCCACTCCATCCGGTCGTTACCACTTCTCCTATTGTGGTCACATACCTCGTGGTATCGACGCTTTAAGGCCTTGAGCTTCGATATGGCCTGTTGTTTGCTCCGGTGCGTTCCCAGATCACGCAACTTCGTTATTAGGCGGTCGTAGGTGACAGAGTCTCGCGCTGTACCTTGAATACTTTTCATAATGACCATGTCTCCCCTCACCGTGAGTAGGTCTCGAATCTCTGAATCTGTCCAATTGGTCGACATGTTGGAGATGCTGTTCAGATGTTTGCCTTCTTTCCTCTGTGTGTTTGTGCTCAGGACTCGGGACATCACGTGGTATACCTTCCCGGTCACGTGACATATACGTTATCTAGGTGCGCACAGCGTCCCCCGGTCCCCTCCTCCCCCCTCCCCCTTGTCCGGAAATTTACCTCACGAGTCTGAAAGCAGCCACCCTGTCCGTAACAAGTCCGGACCTGTTACTAGGGGCTTCGTCCGGAGAAATTCCGGAGCACGTTATCCGGATGTTTGTATTCAGACAGAAAGGTCTTACGGACAGATTCCGGCAAATTTCCGTTTTTCATGGCCTGTCTGAAAGGGGCTTTAGTAATCCACTCATTCACACAAATGGCACGCCTCAGGGTGAATGGGCTATGCAGCCACAGCGACCCTGGGGCGTGCTGACAGAGGTGAAGCCTGCTGAACACAGGCACCACTGCTCTTTCCGACCATCTCCAGCATGAGAGGTGGGTGTATTGCACATAAACATCCTATGAAAGAAGTTTTGATGACATGATCTGCTCTGACCAGTACTTACACTGCCTTGTATATCATAGCCATTTCTCTGATTATTGCCACTTGGTATTATTATTTATCGTGCTTATATTTTTGGTTATCACTTGTTATTTTCTTCTGTTTTGCGCCAGGTACCACAGCAATTTCCTAATGCAATAAAACTCTTCAGATTCTGAAGGTTTCTGCTATTGGATTAATTCAATTCAATTTCAATTCAATTTACATATAAATCAGCAAATTAGGACAAGAATCATCTCAAAGCTGTTTTTTAAAAGTGTCCAGACTGTCAATGCTACGTAAGGATGAAAGAAGATCGTTCCAAAGTTGGGGTGCAACAGTCTGCTGTCTCGCTGCAGAGTTCTGGACCAACTGAAAGTGGTCAAGGGCTTTTTTGTTAAAACATGTGAAGAGCGTGTTACAGTAATCTGGACCGGAGGAGATAAAGGCATGGAGAACCATTTCAAGTTCATGTTTGATACCAAACTTCGCAGTTTGGAGATATTTTTTAAGAGATAAAAACGGTGTCGGGCCAATGTTTTTGAGTGTCCTTCAAGAGACATTGATTGGTCAAAAACACCCAAATTCCTCAAGTTTGTCTTGACGGCAGAGGATAAATGACCAAGTTTTAGAGTAATCAGGAGAACCATGCTCTCAGGGGCGATGATCGGACTTTTCAGAGTTTAACTGGAGGAAGTTTTCATCTAAAAAGAAAGGGAGGGACAACGACTTTTAAAAACACAATCTACTCCCCTGACAAAAACAGTTATCCAGTGCACCTCCTCCACCAATGCACACCAAATTTCCCCCGTGGGGGGCCTACTGAGCCTCTCTGCCCTGAGACCTATCAGCTGGTTAAGGTGGCCCGGGTCATGGTAACCATGTGAGCAGAGCTTAACTTCAAAGGCATTAATGGAACCATAGGCATCATTTTAACCAGGAACGCCAGGGACATGTCCCCGGCAAAATTTGTGATTGGCAGCTGTGTCCCCCCCACTTTCAAAAACGCCTGCTGATGAGGATTTTTGTTTTACCAGCTCAGATCTTATACCAGGGGTCGGCAACCTGTTCCCATCAAAGAGCCATTATTACCCGTTTCCCACGGTAATTTTGGACGGACTTTAATAAGCAGTGACTTAGTGAAGCAGGCAGGTCGCGCTAGAAATTTTAGTTTAAAAAGACGTCATAAATGTGTTCCCCCGTCATTTTTATTTATAAAATATGAAGTAAAAACTCACAATTTAATTTTCATTCATTTGTCATTAATATGTAGTCTACACCCGTGCGTTAAGTGGACCATCTTCCAGTAAAAGCAAAGCATCCAGCCCACCTCTCCAAATGCGTAAAATGTGCATCAGCCTCTAGTTAGGCGCGCCGCGTGCACCATCAGCTACGTCAGCCCAGGCAAGAGCAGAGCAACTAGAGACAGAATAGAGGATAATTGTGTCTGGATGTGGATGGAGATTACATTTTACATCAGCCTGATCATCATTTAAATAAACCATCACCTGTCTTTTAGTCCACGCTATCAGCATTATTTTAATTGGTGTGTGTGTGTGTGTGTGTGTGTGTGTTTTCCACTTCAAACACTGGTCTAACCAACCAGACCAGTGTGTCCAGTAACATATTAATGTTACAATTAAACAGTTTCACTTCATGTAGGCTAGGAACATTTCACCTGCTGTGGCCCGACTGCTTCTGCTCCACATAAACTTTGTGCGTGATCAAATGTCTCTACAGGAGCTTTCTGAGCTGCTATTCTGCCTCAGACTGGATGCGTCATGCGTCTCCATATTAGAGACGGGAACAAGCGCTGTTCAGCCAAAGTTTCATAATTTTATAAAAAGAACATTTTTCCAAGTGAAACATCCCTCAGAGAGACCGGGTTTCCAGACTGTTTCAGTGGGAGGAAATCATCGCATGCGCCGTGGTTCTGCACTGCGCTGGAACCCCATATCTTCAGCTCACTGTCCACCGTGGGCGCTCCGAGCCGCACTGAACACAGTGTCCAATATAAAGCTCTGATGTTCTGATGGGAATATTTTACCTCCGCGATGTGCGTAACGATTAAAATGTCAGCTCATCCATGCGCATCTATGTGGTCTGGGTAATTCTTTCAAACCAAGCAACATCCTTGAGTTCATCTGTCAAAATAAAAAGTCAAATGGAAATATCTGTAACCTGCCGTTTAACTGTTTTGCCTTCCTGTGAAGATTGTTGCAAAGAGAAACAATTAAACGTGATTAACCCCAGAGAACCAGAGCGCATGCGGGAAGATTCCTCCCACTGAAGCGAGTGTTTTCCAAACCCTGTCTCTCAGAGAGACTTGTCACTTAGAAAATGTTCCCTGATTATGAAACTTTGGCTGAATAGCGCTTGTTCCTGTCTCCAATGTGGCGACACATCCAGGAGCCGTCTGAGGAGAATCCCAGAATCTCACAACCTCTTCAGCTCATAAAGTGCCGATATGATTACGTACAAGCGTGACCGGTCAACCACCGCAGACCGGGTTGGACCTGTTCAGGTTTACGCAGACAATCTTTACATAGAATTAGCATACAGATATAAAATTAATGCAGTAAAATATAAAGCATTTTATTTAAATATCCGTTCATTATTCTACAAGCACAGAGAGCCGCATCAGATGGATGGAAGAGCCGCATGCAGCTCCAGAGCCGCGGATTGCCGACCCCTGTGCTAGCCTACTTTATTGTCCCCAGCAATTTTTAAACCCCACTCCAGTGTATGGTTATTGTCCCCAGCAATTCTGAAAACAAACTGACGCCCTTGAATGGAACACATACACGTGTACATAAAAATGGATAGAACACTGGTAGACATAGTAAGCATGTTGGTGGGGTCTAACTTTAGACATTTTAACTCAGTTTCTGGTCTACTTAAGTTCTTAAACAGCTTCAGCTATCATTTACAGCAATCAGCATTCAAACAGAATTTCTGCAAAGTACAATTTATCCAGTTAAATTGTTTTAAAGTAAATAGTTATTCAGGAAACAGTACCTGTGTTCTGTTAAAACTACTGGGCAGACTTTGTTTGAAAATCTCTGAAATACAGCTACTTGATCTAGTTTTACTACACACTAAATTTACCTTATATCCCAAAAGTCGACCTCGAACCCTCTGGGCTTCCTTCCATGTTATTTTGACTGTGCTGTTTTTCACAGTGGATGAGATTCCTGTCGGGGGCTCTTCTGGCTCTGAGTCAACAAAACCATAAAGGATACAAGGTGGAATGTCAGCAGGCATAGGCAAATATTAAAACATTTAACTAACACTGAGTAGAGGTAGACTAAGTGCACTCCTGTTGTAATCACATCCAATATTGTCAGACCACCATTAGGAAGCACATCACAGCTCTTTCAGAGGGTAAGCAAAAAAGCAAAGTTTCTGAACAAAAAGTCTGAAATGCCTGCCACATAGTGGGTACCATCCATCATTCATTTTGTATTATTTCATTAGGAACACAGTAGACACACTATTCAATCACATTTGAACCAAAGGCAAACATGTATTGTGTGCTTTGAAAATATTTTTATTTAAAGTAATTAAAAGCATGGCAGCATTTTAATTAATCAGAGGATACAAAATCCAGAACTGATGTGTTGTATTGTGGTCAGTACAATTCTTGGCAGGAGTTTCTAGCTGAACAGGTCTTGACATGACATGAGATGCTCAGAAGCATCTCTCCCCTGAGCCAGAGATCAGTGGACTCAGTGGTCTCCTTTAAAACAGCTGAAAACTCAGCTGTTCAGGCTGGCTTTTATGGACAGAAACGAGTCTCAAAAGATCTGTGTATGTGTGCATCTAGATGTGTGTGTGTGTGTGTGTGTGTGTGTGTGTGTGTGTGTGTGTGTGTGTGTGTGTGTGTGTGTGTGTGTGTGTGTGTGTGTGTGTGTAGCAGAGTTAGACCCAGCGGGGAGTAACTCTATTATACAAAAAAACTCCTTCAACATGTAAGCACAAACAGCACAGATACAACAACAGAGTCCGATGGGGAGACAGGGATGGGCGGGAACCTGGAGCCTCCAACGGGAGCTGCCACTCACGGCGCATCGACCAGCTGCAGACCAACAGGTGGGAGGGAGAGATCATGGGGAAGAACAGAGAGCAGTGAGTCCTTCAGCTCGTTGACCTCGGTGGAGACCTCAATCTGAAGGCGGGGGTGGGTGGATAGAGATTCACAGCATTTGTCTACATTCCTTCCAGCGTGGGGGTTTGCATGCAGCTCCAAGGCTGCTTGTGGCGTCAGATTCGATAACAGAAGCTTTGTTTGGGTCAGACGGAGATAATTTTTTCTCTCTGCCTTAAAGTCTGTATTGATCATTCAAAGTCCTCCAGTGAAGCCAATTCAGTGATTAAACATCTCCACACCGTCCGGTGACCCTCTCCGAGATGTTATCAATCCTGCGCGCTAACACCGGTAACGCAGCTAAGACATTGTCCAGCTTGCGATTCACCTCGAGCAACGTCCCAGTCTGTGAGGTATCCACCCGGACTGTGCCGTCCATGGTTGCGGGTCGCCTTCCAATCACTCCCGTCATCCCGGATTTTCGGAAAGCCAGATATCCTCCCACTCCAATCAGAAGAAATCCAACGATCATCAGGCCAAATATCCACATGTCTTCGACGTCCTCAATGGACAGCTGAGAGAGACAGATGATGTTCCATTTTTCCAGGAATCGAACACATATCCCGCTGCATGTGTCCCTTGAGGGCAAGCGTGAGCCCCCTCCTCCGTTCTCATTGTTGAAAAAATCTTATCAATCGCGTTGAATGACCAGCTAATTAAGTCCATGTTGCAAATGAAAGGTGGTTGCAGAGGAAATGCAGAGAAGCGCTCTGTAGGCAGAAGGGACAAGAAGAGCCTTGGGAAAACACAGATAAGGGAGAAAAAGGCAGAAGCGTCTGCTCCCTGTGAATCTAGATCTGTGTGTGTATCTAGATGTGTGTGTGTGTGTGTGTGTGTGTGTGCGTGTGTGTGTGTGTGTATCTAGATGTGTGTGTGTGTGTGTGTGTGTGTGTGTGTGTGTGTGTGTGTGTGTGTGTGTATCTAGATTTGTGTGTGTATCTAGATGTGTGTGTGTGTGTGTGTGTGTATCTAGATGTGTGTGTGTATCTAGATGTGTGTGTGTGTGTGTGTGTGTGCGTGTGTGTGTGTGTGTATCTAGATGTGTGTGTGTGTGTGTGTGTGTGTGTATCTAGATGTGTGTGTGTGTGTGTGTGTGTGTGTGTGTGTGTATCTAGATTTGTGTGTGTATCTAGATGTGTGTGTGTGTGTGTGTGTGTGTGTATCTAGATTTGTGTGTGTATCTAGATGTGTGTGTGTGTATCTAAATTTACCATACCAATTTATTTATAAAGCACCATTTCAAAATAGCATGGCAACTAACCAAAGTGCTGTACATAAAAATGCCAAATGCTTGAACAAATCAACAAAACACAATGAAAGCATGAAAATCAGATAAGATACATAGAAACATAGCATAAATAATCAAGGATAAAAATTCCTACTAAAAAAAGTAGAATAAGAGAACAGTTAACAGCACTATCAAAAATAAAAATGATGCAACAAATGATAAAAACCATTTGAAATGGCACAAATAAAACCAAAAAAGCTACAGTACAAAATGGTGTGAGGTGTTAAAAGTGAGCTACTGAGTGTGTAAAGATATTAACTGTGTGTTGTGTCCCTTAGAGTCGGAGCATGGCAACCTTCGACCTGCATGCGTTTGTGGCGGCTCCTTCACGCCGGCTTCTGGAGAGTTGCCGCAAAGCCGATCTGCAGCAGGTTGCCGCCCATTTCAGTCTCCCCCTTCCGAAGCAGCTCACCAAGGCGGCTCTACGACTTCTGGTGGTGGAATATTTGGAAACACAGGGACTCCTCCCTTCGCCATCCACTCCTGGTGCGTCTCCGCCGTCCTCGGATGAGGAAAAGGGACGGCTCGATCATAAGAGGGAGACCCTCGATTCAGCTCCGCCTTCTTCCGCTGAATGTTCATCCCAGGAATCTGATTCGTCTGGAGCAAGTCCTCTCCATTCTCCATTTACCGGCGCTTGTCTGAAGCTGCGTTTGGCTCGCCTGAAGATTGAAGCGGAGGAAAGGACTCTTGAAAGGACCCTCCGTCATGAAATAGAGCTAAAAAGAATGGACACTGAGGTTCGTCTTCAGGAAAGAGCTCTACAGATGAGGACTCTGGAAGCTGCCGCAACTTCAAAACAGACGGCTGACGACCGTTCTTCGCCTTTGTCTCCATCGCCACATGAACTGTCCCGAGACGCCATGTCTCCTCCGGCTGCCACCTCGGTACCGCCCGCTTTCGATGTCTCCAAGTGTGTTTCCCTTCTTCCGCCCTTCCGAGAGACTGAAGTGGATGGGTATTTCCAGGCTTTCGAGCAGATTGCGGTGACTCTCCGGTGGCCTTATGAGGTTTGGTCGTTGCTTTTACAGTGCAAGCTCTCAGGTAAGGCCCTTCAGGTAATTTTGGCTCTTAACGGACAGTTCTAATTATGAGTGTGTAAAAGCCGCCATGTTAAATGCTTATGAGCTCGTTCCTGAGGCTTATCGTCAGCGCTTTCATTCAGAAAAACCTTGGCCTAACCAGACTTATGTTGAATATGCTCATGAAAAATCAGTTCTTTTTGAAAAATGGTGTTCTGCTTCAGGGGTAGACTCCTTAGCTAACCTGAAAGAACTAATTATGGTGGAAGAGTTTAAAAGACACGTGCCTGAGAGGCTCATTTTGTATCTGAACGAACAGAAGGTCTCAACTCTCTCTGCTGCAGCCCTGTTAGCAGATGAGTTCGCGCTAACGCATCGGGCTTGGGAGTCAACAGCTGGCTCCGTTCGTTGGATGAGACCCTCTGTTGCTTCTCCTGAGCACAACGTGTCTCCTGAGTGTTTTTATTGTCATGAGAAAGGTCATTTCATTCGTTATTGCTTTCGTCTCCAGTGGAAAAACCGGAGAAGTGAAAATCCACCTCCGACAAAACCCATAGCTGCTTGTGCTAAGAGCTCACAAAGTGTGGATAACTGTGAAATCCCTCACTCGAGTTTTAAGCAGCTTTTTTCTGCTGGAGTGGTGTCTCTGTTGGGCAGCGATATTAACCAGGAAGTGGTAATTTTGAGAGATACCGGAGCTTCTCAGACCCTAATAAAACGGAGTGTTACCGTTCTCTGTCACCAGCCAGGCTGGCTACTCAGTGGTGTTGCGGGGTATTGAAATGGGTTCAGTTCTGGCAGAGGTGCATCATATTCACCTCACTTGTCCGTTGATTTCTGGTGACCTGAAAGTAGCCATTTTAGAGGAGTTACCGACCCAGGGCGTAGACATGATTTTGGGAAACGACGCTGCTGGTGGATTAGTTTTACCTCCTCCTGAGCTTATCTCTCCTCCTGAAATCTGTACCAACTCAGACTTACTACCTGCTTGTGTCCTAACCCATGCTCAGCTTAAGAAAAACTCGGAAATTTCCCTTGGTGATTCAGTGTTGTTCCCGCTGCTAGCTGATGACGTCACCCAACCAGGTCCGGCTGTAAAAACACCTGATCTGGCCTCCAGAGGCCCTCAACTCGATTTCCCCATCTCGTATAAGACTTTGGCTGATGCACAAAAAGCAGATGACTCTCTGAAACTCCTCTTTGCGTTGGTTGGTGTGGCTCCAATGTCCCCCGAGGGTCAGGCTTCTTATATGATTGAGGGTGACATTTTGTTTCGCTGCTGGACTCCAGCCTCGGCTAAAGGCTCTGAGTGGGCCCAAGTAAAACAGATTGTGGTCCCTGAGAATTTTAGGAATTATATTCTCTCTTTGGCTCATGAGTGCGAGTTTAGTTTAGTTTGGTCATTTAGGAATAAATAAGACATATCTGGCCATCTTGCGCCACTTCTTCTGGCCAGGTCTGAAACGCCACATCGCAGAGTTTTGTCGTAGCTGTGCTACTTGTCAGATTGTAGGAAAACCAAATCAAACAATACGACCAGTTACTTTATATCCAACCCCCGTGGTTTCGACCCCTTTTGACCACATCATCATAGACTGTGTAGGACCTCTTCCACCATCTAAGTCTGGCCGTAAATATCTACTGACCATTATGTGTTCTGCCACTCGTTTTCCAGAAGCTGTTCATTTGTCCTCCATCACCACAAAAAACGTGATAAGAGCACTAACAGGGTTTTTCTCTGTTTTCGGGTTGCCTACAGTCATCCAATCAGATCAGGGGACCAACTTCACCTCAGGTTGCCAAAACCCTAAACATTAAACACGTCACTTCCTCTAGTTACCATCCAGAAAGCCAGGGTGTCCTCGAGAGGTGGCATCAAACTCTGAAGACCATGCTTAAGAAACATTGTTTCTCCTCGGGTCGTTCATGGGAATAAGGACTTCCTTTTGTGTTATTTGCCGCTAGGGATGCTGTGCAGGATTCCACCGGTTTAACCCAAATCAGCTTGTGTTTGGTCATGCCCCTAGGGGCCCCTTGAAGACATTAAAAGAGAAGTTTCTCTGGCCTGTTCCTTCTGTTGTGGCTAGTCTTCCATCCTATGTAGGCTCCTTTCAGAAAAGACTCAAAGACGCTAATCTGTTAGCTCAGCAACACCTTAGAACGGCCAAGGCCTCGATGAAAGTTTGTTATGATCGAAAGTCTAGCTCCCGTGTTCTGCAGGTAGGAGACCAAGTGCTATTTCTGAATCCTACTGTTGGTTCCTCGTTGTCTCCTAAGTTTCAGGGTCCCTTCGAAGTGATGTCAAAACTGGATGAACGTAATTATGTGATAAAAACCTCTCTGATGCGTAGAAAGACCAAAGTGTGCCACATCAACAGGCTTAAGTTGTTTTGTAGTAGAGACACAAACCCATCTCCGTCTGGTGTTGTAGCCGCCGCTGTTGTTTCGCAACCACCTGATCTAGAAATGCCCTCTCCTGCTACTGCTATGAGTCCTCCTGTTACTCCTCGTCTGAGCAATTCTGAAACCCTTAAGAACTTTTCTAACTGCTTAGAACATCTCTCTCCAGCACGGCAGGTAGAATTACAAGAATTGATCCACTCATTTCCTGAGTTGCTTGCAGATACTCCTTCCCAGACCCATCTCATCACCCACGACATCACCCTTTCTGACCCTTTGCCTGTACGGATGCACCGCTACCGCGCCAGTCCTCATAAGCGTGAGTTAATGAAGCAGGAAGTAAATTACTTACTCATGAACGGCCTAGCAAAACCAAGCACCAGCTCATGGAGTCTGCCCTGCTTGTTAGAGAATAAACCTGATGGCACTTATAGATTTGTCACAGATTATCGTAAACTAAACACTGCCACTGTTCCTGATTCGTTCCCTTTACCTCGGATTGACGACTGTGTCGATAGTGTGGGGGCAGCGACTTTTGTTTCTAGACTGGACCTTTTAAAAGGGTACTGGCAAGTATTGTTTTTAGGTTCTTTGTACATATTCGGTTCATTTTGTAATAAAATCCTTTGTTTTTAAGCAACACAGCACCCTGATTATTATTTCACCCACACACTAATTTTATTACTCCCCTCCTCATCTCTCCTAGAGAGCCGGGGACGTAATACTCCTCTTGTTTTGAACTTTTCTTGCACTCCTGATGTATGCTTCTGTTTGGATGCTATCTCCCCTCCTCAGCCATGGACCTGTCGGCATATTTAACCACTAATTGGTCCAATGCTACGTGCGGAAATGTGCACTTGTTGGATAACTTGTCTTTTTTTTCTCTCTTGCCTGCTGATGGTAGCAGTTTGTGCGTGACACGCTTCACAGCAGTGAAGTGCGTCCATAGCGCATTTGGAGAGAATACATCCTCTTGTGCAAAAAGAAGCTCCTCTTGGAGCACGACTTCTATTATTAGAGAGGCTGCACTGGTAAGGACTGTGGACGGCTGGTGTTTACTAGAAAACAGAGATGTCTCGGAGATTTCAACTAATAAATGAGCGGAAAAACTACCGGTACTCTTCGTAGTTGTGGTATGCTGAGAGTTAAAAAGGAGAAGTGCCGGTACTGCATATTGGTGTGTACCGGCCCACTTAAAGTGCTGTTCGTAGTCCTTATTAATATTTCACACCTGCCCCAGATTACCCTGTTTTATTTAAGCACTGTCTGTTCACGTCAGTCGTCAGATCCTCGTTGTGTATTGTTGTCTACCTGTTCCCATGTGCTTCAGTAAACAAAATAAGTTCCATTTTTCTGCCATCCTGCCTGCTCGGTGATCTACGTTTGGGTCCTCATCTCAAACTTTCAATCATGACTCAAGTTTGAAGCTTATATCAGAAGGGTGTCCAAAACCATATAGACCAACCTCAACTGCTTTGTGTTTACCTGAAACGCTTGCCCTGGCATTCCTGCATGCAGTATTCTGTTGTTCCCTCTAGAGCCAATTGTTTCAATCTGTTTTAAAACATGCCTTGAAACCTTTAGAATGAAAACCAATGAAGAGGCACAGCTGATAGTCCTGAAGGCTAAATCAATTAGTGGAAGGCCTAGTAAGAGAAGCTGAAGCCTAACTAAATCATTTGACCAAATAAAATAAGGTAGCTAGTTGGACTGAAGGGTTTAAGGCTTGCTACATCACCTGAAAGCTAACATCACTGGCTAGATGCTAGCTAAATTAGTAAACGCACTCAGTTAAGCAGACACACACACCGATATAACTGTTAGAATCATTCTCAAATGCCTAACTAGCACCTCCTACCATTCCACAATTTTCCCAAGTTTCACACCTTTTTGCATCCATCCCACTTCATACTCAACACAAGCAGACAAAGGGTAAGCTAGTGAAGGAAGCTGCCTGTCCTATGGGAGGAGACATAACACAGACACAGACATAAAATGTTTAAGTTTAAGGTTTTCCTTTGTTCACTGTCACATTCCTTATTTCATCTGAAGCTTGTTTGGTTGTAGTGAGCACATGTGACTCGAAAGTGTGAAAGTACTCTGAAATAAGGTAACTTACTGTCCTCTCCGGAGTATCCAATATGAGGTGTTGGTTCTGGCCCTGGTCCATCTCTGTTCACAGCTTGAACTTTAATTTGAAATTGTGTATATGCTCCTGTATTGTTTATTGCAAACGGTGGAGAAATTGCAATGACAGAGTTCCAGTTTGAAGAGATCCCCTGAGCCTTTCGCCAGTAAACTTTGTACCGGAAGTCTTGGCTGTTATGGAAGCGTTTTTCCATTTCCTAAAGAGACATGTAAATAATAGGTATAGTTTAAATTGGATGGTGTAAGACAGCATGTGCAGCCAGATGAACACCAAACAAAGTACTCACAACCCATGTGATGAGAAGGGTCCCTGGGTCTGTCGAGTTGCTCTGTACACCAACAGGATTTTGATCAGGAACTGTTGGGTGATAAAAAGAGGAGTGACACTTAAAAACTGAAAAGCAACTATGCAGGAAACGAAGGCAAATGTTGTGCACTGAAAGTACTGAAGATACCAGATTAAAAGAGATAAAGTCTTAGTTTACCCGTGCTGCATTTATAATTAGGCCCGAGCAGCGAAGCGCTGCGAAGGCCTATTGTATCTGCTCCGTTTCTTTTTAGGCCCGAGCAGTGAAGCTGCGAAGGCCTATTGTATCTGCTCCGTTTATTATTATTTATTAGGCCCGAGCAGTGAAGCTGCGAAGGCCTATTGTATCTGCTCCGTTTATTATTAGGCCCGAGCAGCGAAGCGCTGCGAAGGCCTATTGTATCTGCTCCGTTTATTATTATTTAGGCCCGAGCAGTGAAGCTGCGAAGGCCTATTGTATCTGCTCCGTTTATTCTTTCTTTCTTTCTTTCTTTCTTTCTTTTTTCTTCCGCGTCTTTGAATGGCCTTTAGGGGGTCTTGGCATATTCAAAAAGTCACCAAATTCTGGCTCAATATAGAAAGTGCGTGAAATTTACGTATTTCACTGGCGATGTGAAAGTTCGTAAAAAAGTGGCTGGACAGCGCCCCCTAGAAAGTGAAAAATACCCCTCTCCATAAAGCTTAGTTTATCGTACGGTTATGAAATTTGGTATACTTGTAGTACTCCACAGTCCGCACAGAAAAGTCTCTTGCAACCATGGTCAATATCAAACAGGAAGTCGGCCATTTTGGGTTGAAATGGCGAATTTTAGCCATTTTGGCCATTTCTAGGGTCTATATTTGGTTGAACAGTTTGGTCATTTTTCGCACGATCGTCTCAAAAATAGTGTGCAATCGAACAGAAGCGATGGACGATTCAAATGAGAAAATAAAATTGACTTTTCGTAAATACTGAAGGGGCGGGGCCAGGCCTCAAAGTTCGAGCACTCGCCAAAAAAATTCAAATTGCTATAATTTCATAAATGAAAGAATTACAGTTAAAGTAACTTTCTGTGGACAATCGTCATCGCCCCCCGAAGACAAATGAATGGTCGATTGATGATGTCACATAAGCCCCGCCCCCTCAGGACTTAAAAGGTCAAGTTTTACTGGGAAATTTTCTAAAATTCGCCCTTTCAAATAATCATCCCAAATTTGTACCAGTTAACTGAAGACAAGTTGGGGTTGCTTGGCGTCACTTTATGGGAGTTTTCTGCAGAAGGCGGGGCTGTGGCGGCACGGCGAAGTCAGGCGTACCACTTAGGCCTTACGTTTGCCTCCCATTTCGTCATTTCTAAAGATATCGCCACGAAACTTCTTGGGAGTGATCCTAGTCCTGCCCCCCAAAAAATGTGATGTGAAAATCCGGTGGGCGTGGCCTATTTTCTGAAATAGCGCCCCCTAGGAGCATTAAAACTGTCAGCCCCAAGCCATGCTTTGACTGAGGATTACGAAATTTGGTACACTAATGTGGTGTCTCAGGACCTACAAAAAAGTCTCTTGGAGCCAAGAACCAAGTCGCACAGGAAGTCGGCCATTTTGGTCCAAGTACTCGATTTAGTGGTTTTCGCACACGTTGTTTGGAGAGTGTTGCACCATCGCCCTTTTCACCAATCACCTTCAAACTTCTGCTATAGACTCTTAAGACAAAGGGGAAAAAATTCAACCTACGGATTTTAAATAAGTATAAAGGTGTGGGCGTGGCTAAGCCTCAAACTTTGACCTGTCGCCACGCCACTCTTTTTTTTCACCGCTCCCTATTGGACTCCTTTTAACCAATCACCACCATTCACTGGCAAATAGCAGCAGACAAGTTGAGGTCACTTGGTCTATAGTACTGGCAGGTTTCGAATAAAGGCGGGGCTTTGGGATCATGGCGAAATTCACCATCACGCCATGGAAATACGTTTGTGTCTCATTTCTTCAATCATTGTGACATCACCACACAATTTCTGATGAGTGATCTTACTCTGACCCCTAATAGAATTGGACAGCTGAAGTTTGTGGGCGTGGCCTATTTTCTGAAATAGCGCCCCCTAGGACCATTAAAACTATCAGCCCCAAGCCATGCTTTGACTGAGGATCACGAAATTTGGCACACTAATGTAGTGTCTCAGGACCTACAAAAAAGTCTCTTGGAGCCAAGTACAATGTCGCACAGGAGGTCGGCCATTTTGGTCCAAGTACTCGATTTAGTGGTTTTTGCACACGTTATTAGGAGAATGATGTCTCGTCGTCCTTTCCACCGATCACCTTCAAACTCCTTCTATATACTCTTAAGACATAGAGGAAAAAATTCAACCGTCGGATTTTAAATAAGTATAAAGGTGTGGGCGTGGCTAAGCCTCAAACTTTGACCAGTCGCCATTACGTTACATGACTTAATAACTCCCATGTGCATGATCAGATCAATGTCAAACTTTGTCTGTGTGATCACTGACCACATGTGAAGACAGTGACAATGTGGACAGCTGACATCACCTAAGCCCCGCCCCCTGACTACAGGAAGTCTACTGTTTTATGGTGAAATGCCCATATTTGTCCCCTCTAATTAAGTCAGCATGACACTAAGGTCATGCACTGTCTTCATGATGTTGTAATGACCATTCAGATCTGATAGCTTTTCAGAAAGGGAGGGGCTTTGATGCCATGGCGATTTCTGGCGTGACGCTGTGACCTTACGTTTGACTGTAACTTCCACAAACAGCCTCCGATTTGCCCGAGACTGAACATCACATCACCAGTGTGGTAAAGATAGAGTATCTCCTAGTGGTGAGACGTGTAATGGTGGGCTCAGAGGGGATGCTGAGTCAGGGTGAGGTGTGGACGAGGAGGCCGTTCACGGTTTCTGGTGTCGGGGTGGTTGACTTTCTGTTCTGCCAGACGTGCCCTGGTGCCCCCGGCTGCCGGCCAGGACGGAGAAGCGCGGAGCTGGGTTTGGAGAGCGTAGGGGATGGAGCGGAGGGGGTGCGGAAGGAGGGCGAGCAGCTTCGCTGCGAGGGCCGAACGACGCTGCTTACAGCTTTAATTAGGCCCGAGCAGCGAAGCGCTGCGAAGGCCTATTGTATCTGCTCCGTTTCTTTTTTTTCTTTCTTTCTTTTTTTTTCTTTTTTTTTCTTCCGCGTCTTTGGACGGCCTTTAGGGGGTCTTAGCATATCCAAAAACTCACCAAATTCTGGCCCAATATAGAAAGTGCGTGAAATTTACGTATTTCACTGGCAATGTGAAAGTTGGTATAAAAGTGTTTCAACAGCGCCCCCTGGAAAATTAAAAATACCCCTCCGCATTGACCTTTTTTCATAGTAGAGTGATAAAATTTGGTACACCTGTAGAATTCAACAATACGCACAGAAAAGCCTCTTGCACCCATGGTCAATATCAAACAGGAAGTCGGCCATTTTGGACTAAAGTGGCCATTTTTACCCCATTTTGGCCATTTCTAGGCTCTATATTTGGTTAAACAGTTTGGTCATTTTTCGCACGATTGTCTCAAAAATAATGTGCGATCGAACAGAAGCGATGGACGAATCAAATGAGAAAATAAAACTGACTTTTCGTAAATACTGAAGAGGCGGGGCCAGGCCTCAAAGTTCGAGCACTCGCCAAAAAAATTCAAATTGCTATAATTTCATAAATGAAAGAATTACAGTTAAAGTAATTTTCTATGGACAATCGTCATCGCCCCCCGAAGACAAATGAATGGTTGATTGATGATGTCACATAAGCCCCGCCCCCTCACGCCTTAAAAGGTCAAGTTTTACTGGGAAATTGTCCAAAATTCGCCCTTTCAACTAATCACCCCATATTTCTAGCAGGAAACTGAAGACAAGTTGGGGTTGCTTGGCGTCACTTTATGGGAGTTTTCTCCAGAAGGCGGGGCTGTGGCGGCGCGGCGAAGTCAGGCGTACCGACGTGGCCTTACGTTTGCCTACCATTTCGTCATTTCTAGAGATATCGCCACAAAACCTCTTGTGAGTGATCCTAGTCCAGCCTCCAAAAAAATTTGATGTGAACATCCGGTGGGCGTGGCCTATTTTCTGAAATAGCGCCCCCTAGGACCATTAAAACTGTCAGCCCCAAGCCATGCTTTGACTGAGGATTTCGAAATTGGGTACACTAATGTGGTGTCTCAGGACCTACAAAAAAGTCTCTTGGAGCCAAGTGCAAAGTCGCACAGGAAGTCAGCCATTTTGGTCAAAGTACTCGATTTAGTGGTATTCGCACACGTTGTTTGGAGAGTGTTGCACCATCACCCTTTTCACCAATCGCCTTCAAACTTCTGCTATAGACTCTTAAGACATAAAGGAAAAAATTCAACCGTCGGATTTTATATAAGTTTAAAGGTGTGGGCGTGGCTAAGCCTCAAACTTTGACCTGTCGCCACGCCACTCTTTTTTTCACAGCTCCCTATTGGACTCCTTTTAACCAATCACCAGCAATCACTGGCAAATGGCAGCAGACAAGTTGAGGTCACTTGATCTATAGTACTGGCAGGTTTTGAATAAAGGCGGGGCTTTGGGAGCATGGCGAAATTCGCCATCACGCCATGAAAATATGTTTGTCTCTCATTTCTTCAATCATTGTGACATCACAACAAAATGTCTGATGAGTGATCCTAGTCTGACCCCCAATAGAAATGGACAGCTGAAGTTTGTGGGCGTGGCCTATTTTCTTAAATAGCGCCCCCTAGGACCATTAAAACTGTCAGCCCCAAGCCATGCTTTGACTGAGGATTACGAAATTTGATACACTAATGTGGGGTCTCAGGACCTACAAAAAAGTCTCTTGGAGCCAAGTACAAAGTCGCACAGGAAGTCGGCCATTTTGGTCCAAGTACTCGATTTAGTGGTTTTCGCACACGTTGTTTGGAGAGTGTTGCACCATCGCCCTTTTCACCAATCGCCTTCAAACTTCTGCTATATACTCTTAAGACAAAGGGAGAAAAATTCAACCATCGGATTTTATATAAGTATAAAAGTGTGGGCGTGGCTAAGCCTCAAACTTTGACCTTTCGCCATTACATCACTTGACTTAACTCCCATGTGCATGATCAGATCTATATCAAACTGTGTCTGTGTGATCATTGACCACATCTCAAGACAGTGACAATGTGGACAGCTGACATCACCT